CAGGTAAACTGAGGTTAGCACTGCATCATTCAACCCCATGACACTTGTGGATTAAGAAATTGTATACCAAAAATGTCATCCAAACCTCAGACTCAGCAATACTACTGAGTCGTTATCAGTGGGGTACAGATTTCCATTTGCTTTTATCTGTGGTCATGATGAATTTGTGCTGCCCCAGGCACACTTCTTACTGTCTTCCAAGTAGCCAGAGGAACAAGTTAGCACAGCAAAATAAACTGGCCTGTGAGGGGATCCCATGGGTGACTTTGGTCCCTGGGGGGCTCAGCTCCCCCAAACAAGCTAGTAACTGAACCCTGGCAGCCATTCTTGAGCTGTTTACTGTGAAAGGCATTTGAGTCAGCTCTATTCCTTCATGATACTACACTTCCTTGGCCCTTTTCTTATTTTCTAGGCCTTTCTCACTTCCCCTTCTCTGCCCCTGGCCATTCTGGGCTTCCTGGTGCACCTGTAGCCCAAGTACTGCTCCAACCTTCATAAACTCCAAGACTGACACAAAGTTACTGTAGAAAAATCAGCAGAGATGCTAAATAGTTAGCCCTGAATGTTAGAAACAACTCTCTACAAATTGACAGTGGGTAGTATGCAGGGTATTCCTGAAATCTCCTGTAGGCATCCACAAGGCCAAACCTAAGGAAACATTTCCAACCCTCATGCAAAACAGACGCACTCTAAGGCCAAGAGAAACCACACCGCCTGAGTTACAGGCTTTATTTAAAAATATTTTCTCAAAAAAATTAATATTAAAAAAAAATATTTTCTCAGTAAGAGTTTGTTCCTTTCCCAGAATAATGGAGCACAATAGGTTCTGGCAAGGGTCTCTAGAATATCCCATTTGAACATGTGAATATTAAAATTGTTGAAGTCTATAAAAATGTTTTCAATTTCATATTGCTCATATTCCTATTACATTGTTGTAGATTATTTTTGCAATCTGAGTCTGATTGCTCCCCATCCTCTTCTAACTCATGCCCTTTTAACCTCACTTTAGGACACCTTCTAAGGCTCTGAGACTGAGCATATGTGATAGTTTTTAAAAATTATTTCTGATTTTGACTTTGTCATTGTCCTCTTAGAGTCAGGCAGCATGTTGCATTGGAAAAACTCCTGCCAGTGATACCAGACACCAAAGTTCTAGTACAAACTACCATTACCAGATGTGAAACTTTAGGTAAATCACTAAGGGCCTCCATTTTCTCAACAGTAAAAATGGGGACTTAGACTAGACCACTTCTAAGGGTCTTCCCTCCTTCTTTAACATCTTGACAATAATTTCAGTATTTGTCATTAAAACTGTTTTGAGTAGATTTGGGACACTGCTATAATCTTTACAAAGTGCAGTTAAGTACTGCACCACTAAGGACCATTCAACATTACCCCCAAACACAAACTGAATTGGGTGGAACACCATATAAACTTTACTTATTTGTAATTTTATTCCCCAGTTGTCTCATTTAAATATGAATTTAAAACATTCAAAACACTTAGGTACTGTGATGTCATAAATTGCATTTTTAATATTACAATATTATTTACTATTGTAAAGTGATTTCCAAAAAGGGTCATTCTGCTGTAGAGAATTTCTGGACTCGTATTTACTTCCTTTAAACTATGACAACCTCCACATACACTAAGAGAGTCTCTGTGTTGCTTTAGTTGAATCAACAATGTTTGGGGAGAAATGGATAGCCACATGGACTGAAGATGAGATTTTCCCCCCAACTTTGTTCTTAATCACTGACAAAGACACTGGATGAGGCTACCATTATTTTAATCTCTAAATCTTTGCTCATAATCAGACAATAGTTTCTCATCCTTCTCCTTATACACTTTCTCAGAATAATTTCCTCATTCTTCTTGTAATATCACAAAAATTTGTGGTTATAAGCTAGCTGAACAAAGACCCTATCAGGTTCAGTATTTGGAAATGTCAGCTGTCTAGTTGTTAATCAGGGCTTATTATTAATGCAAGTTTTAATTAACATAAATGACTAAGGAACAGCTCAAGAATCAGGGCATAAATGTTTGTCTTTTCAATTAAACGATACTGTAAATAATAAATTAGGGGGAAAGCTTTGGATAATCAGTAATACCAAAGACAATTGGGCTATATTTTAATATAGTCGAGTTGCAAAGCCATTAGTTAATAGCTCTGCTTTGACTTTTGCCTCACCACACAATTGGGAGCAAACAAAAGTGTGAGTATGTGCGTGTGTTTAGCAGAGGCTCTATTCAGTAACAATTATTAATTCAGGGTCAATGCCAAGAAGCCAAGACAAATGAATGGCCTGGTGGTTCAGAGGGGGCTCAGGGCCTGGATATGTTTCACAGCAACACAAATCCCATGTAAGTTATTTAGCCAGTCAACCCTTGCAGGGGACTCAAACCCACTCTTGGTAAGCCCTGGCTAGACTATGTCAGGAATATTTGGACAGCATGATTGAACTTAAGGGGAAAGAAAGACTTACAATTCCAGATTCTGACATGGTCTACAAACCAATGCTAGATATTAGATATCCAGTAGACTACCAGTATGCCTCCCAATCACTTCTTTCCCATGTTCTCCAGAGGCCCCAGATAATCCATGTGGATTAAATGAAAGGAAATCACCTTCTCCCTCTACAACCTCAAACTGGTTTCCTAGTCCTGTTATTATTCCTTTTCATTTTCCTGAATCCATCCCCAAAGCCACGCCTTAGCCATATTTGGGCCCTGGTGAGTGCTCAGGTGGACCATTGCAGCAATTGATTGGGCGCTGGGATCTTCCCCCCGCAATGGACTAATCCCGATCCCAGTTCAGATTCTTTCATGTCCATCACCCTGAAGATAGAGTGCAAACTATAGAGTGTTACACCCAAGGTCCTTCAGGAGTTGAGCTGTGCCTCCAGGCTCACTTCTTAAAAAGTACCCCATGCAAGGAACCTCTTGCTCGCGGCAAACTGAACAACCAGCAGGCGATCCCCGGACTTGACACACATGGACGTGCCTTTAATCAGTCTTCTTCTGCCCAAGATACCCTTCCTCTTCACTTCCTTATCTTCCTGGAGAAATTCAGTGGATCCTTTAAGATCTGGCCCAAGTTCTCTACAGCTTTTTGTTTGTTTGTTTTTGCATCTTTATTGGAGTATAATTGCTTTACAATGGTGTGTTAGTTTCTACTTTATAACAAAGTGAATCAGTTATACATATACATATGTTCCCATATCTCTTCCCTCTTGCGTCTCCCTCCCTCCCACCCTCCCTATCCCACCCCTCTAGGTGGTCACAAAGCACGGAGCTGATCTCCCTGTGCTATGCAGCTGCTTCCCACTAGCTATCTACCTTACGTTTGGTAGTGTGTATATGTCCATGCCTCTCTCTCGCTTTGTCACAGCTTACCCTTCCCCCTCCCCATATCCTCAAGTCCATTCTCTAGTAGGTCTGTGTCTTTATCCCTGTCTTACCCCTAGGTTCTTCATGACTTTTTTTTTTTCTTAAATTTCATATATATGTGTTAGCATACGGTATTTGTCTTTCTTACTTCACTCTGTATGACAGACTCTAGGTCCATCCACCTTTAATTGTTTCAAAACCGTATCTTGCTATGCTTGAGGGTAGTGGCCATCATATTCATAATTGTTTTCCCCCTTCAGATTTCATCTTCCACTATTCTCTCTGGCCTTCTTTCTATTCTCTGGCCATGCCAAGTCTCAGAGCTTTTCCTCTGGCTCTTCCCTTTGCCTAGAGATCTCTTCCCTGTCCCCATATGTGCTCTTCACAGGACTGCCTCATTCAAGTCTTAGCTCAAATGTCACCTCTGCAGAGAGGCAGTCCCTACTGTCCCACATCTAAAGTAGCCTCCCCCAATATTCTTCTAATCATTCTTTTATTATCCTGTTTGCATTTGTCTCCATCAGAAATGAACTTGTTTATCTTCATGTTTATTTGTTCTCTCCCCAGCTCTCCCACTCCTCACTAGAACATATTTATCTGCCTAAGATATAGCAACCTTGTCTATGCATTCACTCATGTAGCCCCAGTGCCTACAACAGTGGTTGACACATAGCAGGTATTAATAAATATCTTTGGAATTAGTGTATGTAGGGTTTGCAACTGTAGGAATGGATATAAATAGGATTGTTTTATGAGTATAGGTTTCCTGGTGAGTGGAAATAAAAAGGTGGACATCCTAATCAACCTTCCCCTCCTTCCCACCTCTCTAGAAACTGTGCCCTGAGTCATTATTTGAATGTTTTTACCTTTTGTCTTTCACAATTGTCTTTGCATGTCAAGAATGCATTAAGGCATAACTTTTTCAAGACCTTTTAGAGTATAGACTCTGGAGCCAAACCATTTAGGATTATGTCCCAGTTCTGTCTGTGTATGACCTTAGGCAAGCAATTCAATCTCTTTATGCCACAGTTTCCACATCTATAAAAATGATGGGGGCTTCCCTGGTGGTACAGTGGTTAAGAATCTGCCAATGCAGGGGTCATGGGTCCGGGAAGATCCCACATTGCTGCAGAGCAACTAAGGCCATGCACCACAACTACTGAGCCTGCATTCTAGAGCCCGCAAGCCAAAACTACTGAGCCCTCATGCCACAACTACTGAAGCCCGCATGCCTAGAGCCTGTGCTCCGCAACAAGAGAAGCCACTGCGATGAGAAGCCCATGCACCACAACGAAGAGTAGCCCCTGCTCACCACAACTAGAGAAAGTCCGTGCACAGCAATGAAGACCCAACGCAGCCAAAAATAAATAAATTTATTTTAAAAAAAATGATGCCTGCCTCATTGGATTGTTGGGATAATTACAAGAATATGTGCAAAACAATCAGACAATGGCCATACCAAGTGCAATATACATGTTAATCATTAATATTAGTTGTTTTCTATCATGTGGAGACAGGACACAATTGAGAAATCCAAATAAAAGCAGTATCTGTGGGAGATTACTGTGATGGGGCAAGTGTGTGCAACAGAGAAATGAGAACAACAGAACTTTTGCTTCCAGAAATTCAAAAAAATATAGTTTATTAATTTTACATTTAGATGTTTGTGATACACACACATATAGAGGAAATCTGAAAGAGTACCTCCATGATTTTGTGTTGAATGTTATACATTTTATTTTAAAATAATTTAACAAAGTTCATCTTAAATTTTATTATTTTAAAATAAAAACCATTATATCAAAATCTCAAGCATTTAAAAAATTGTAAAGGCCATGATTCAAGTCAACAATTCTGTATTTTGAGATTTGGTGGGTAAACATGATTTCATTTGTCTATGAAGAATTTACTCTGTTCCCTTCTTGCTTTTTCAAGGTTTTCAAAAGTGATCATTCCTTTTGGCAGCTGCAACTTACTCTTTTCTGTTTCCAGTATGTTCTCGGCTTCACCTTAAATAAAGTACAGTAATGTGCAAGGTGACAAAGGGGTCATCAGCATTTTGTGAGAAGACCTACTTGTTGTGTTCCACTGACATGCTGTAACACTGTGTGGAGGCATGCCCCCAGATCTCACAGTTAAATATTTCACCCACTGTCCCCAGTGAAGTGACCTCCCAAAGGAAACACAATAATGAATTCTGAAGATTCAAAAAGAGATAAATCAGATGCCAGAGACTTTGACAGAAGACAGCATTTTAAAATGTAGAAGAGAAAGAATACCAAGTAATATTTTTTTTCCTTGAAGGAAAGTCAGGATGATAACTATTAGTTGTGTTAGGAGGGGTTTAGGGTGGTGAAACCCCATATGGTTCTTCTTGTTGCCCCTTATTATATCATAAGTGACGTGAGAAGAAAATAAAGTTTACTAAAAACTCTGATTTTTCAGGAAAGCTAATCTTTGACTTGAAACTACTTATAAATACCCCAAATAATATTAAATGTTCTTTAGTCCATATATACATACATACACACACATATACACATTTTTATAAACAATTCCTCTTAAATAATAGCTAGTAATTTCTTGGGCACAGTGACATTTGCCAACTTTTATTGTTGAAGACTAGCGAAATCTTGAAAAACTATAATATATGTTGTTGACATTCCATAAACTTTCCTTGGGAATAAAGGCAGTTGTTTTCTTGAAGTATTCCTCTTTTAACGCACAATTAATTTATACTCCAAACCCAACAGGGCAGGCTACAATTTGCAAATTATCACAGCATTCCAACAATCTGCAAACATTTTTTTTTCTCAGTCTTAAATACTAAGTAAAAATCATTATAAATTGTATGTAATTGGGCAGGCTATTGATGACAGACTAGATGTTTCCATGGGAGAGTGCCTTCCATATGGCAGATTCTTAGTATGTGTTTACAGAGTGGCTGATAATAAAGTCAATTAAACAGGAAGTATATATCTTGGGGCCATGTCTAGTTAACAGGGCTATATATTATAAACTAAACTTTTTAATATGGTAAATTTCCTGGTGGATTCTAAAGTTTTGTTGTTTTTTTTTTCAACAGGAAATTTCCACAACATGCCTTGGAAGTTAAATTTTTATATTCTATAGACTCTGATGGACCTGTAATAAAATTACTTCCCAATTATACAATCAAAATATTCCTAGAAAATAAATTTGCTCTCCATTAGTAATACATTCAAGTGAATGCTGTATAATAGAGTTGAGATTTCTTAATACTACATACTAACTTTTATGAGAGACTGAGAACTCTAATGTTCTTATAAACAGTGAGACATAGTTGAGCTCAGACTAATGAATTCTTAAGCAAATGAGTAACATGAACCTGAGCAGGTTATTGAAATGAGTTTTAACATAAGTAAATCAGTTTTGTACAGTTAGTTTCCAGCTTAAAATGGAATTGTACTCCAAAAGTTAATTTGTAGATCAGTGTTTTAGAACTCAGAATACATTTTCCCACAGTAATATATGCTATAAATAAATTTCTAGGCCATCAGCAAAACACTGTTTAGCCCACAATATAGCCGAACTATGATACCAATAATGTCTGACCCCAAAGGACATTTTAACATAGTTTCTATGTGGAAAATGTACTTCTATTTTCAAATGGGAATTTTTAAGAACATATAATCCCTCCATTTCCCTAAGTCTGTGAATGAAATGTTCTACTGCCTACTCCCAATACCTGCACCTTCTCCTTTCCCATACTAAACCAGTCCCCACAGAGCCTCAGGGATAGTGATGGGCCTATAGTCCAGGAGAGAACAGGATGGCAAAAATGAAGGCTTGGGAAAGCACTGTTTCCAGCATGCTCTGGGTTGAAGGCTTGAGGAGTAGGGAAATAGGGATCCTCATGAGAGGTGTGTAGTGGTGGGAATTTGGAAGACATGGATATCCTAGACTAATGGGAAACTCTGTCTTCTTGGGACAGGAATGGCATCTGTGGCAGCAGTGCCATTTTCTAGGGCAATAAAAGCCAGAGTTCAGTGAGAGCAGTACGGTACTGGTGAAAATTTAACAACCAGCTTTCCAGAACAAAAACAAATGTACGTAAGTTTATTATGTACATAAGTTTATTATAAATTTTACTTCTATGAAATATATATAGCGTACAATTTATAAATGATAATAACATGTACAGTACCCTTTATCATAAATTCTATATAGCAAATTGATCCTCAAAGAATGTTTTTATTGATTTTTGCTGAACTCTTTTATCCATAGCTCGCCTAAGCAGTTGATGAGAAAGTATAATTTCAACATGAATGATGGTCGGTGTTTTCATTTACGTTAATGAGTAGGACAAAAGAGAAACAGTGATATTGTGGACTTTGTTGAATCAGATAACAGTTTTTAAATATTAGGACATTTCCTGAATTTTTTTTGCTATTCACAACATAATGGATATGGACACAACACACTTTTAAGACTAATATACATCATTAACATTTTCTTCACCATTTTCTTAAGTCTAGACCACGGGTTGGCAGACTTTCGTAAAGGGCCAGATAGTAAATATTTTAGGCTTGTGGGGACTTGCATATCTGTTGCAGTGACTCGGCTCTGTCATGGAAATGGAAAAGCAGAAATGAATGGGTATGTCTGTGTTCCAATAAAACTTTATTTTCAAAAATAGGTGGCCAGCCTGCAGACCATAGTTTGTCAACCCCTGATCTAGACAATCAACAAAATAGTAAGTCAAGCCTTGATTTGGTATTTGTAGATTTCCATGGTGTAAATACTCCCACCATGACCACCTTCAAGCTGACATACCAATGGGACATCACTGAAGTCAGAGTTGTATCTGTATTTTATTGTGTCTATATATTGTATCTGCATTGCCACCATACAGATACAGTAGATATACATAACTTAAAAGAATAGATATACATAACTTAAGAGTACAGATATTTGTAAAATAATTAGAAACTAAGTTCTGATTATTTATTATTTTTGTTTTTAATATAATTTAATATTATGTATTTTCTGTAATTTATTTAATTGTAAGTTTATATAATTTTTTAAAAATTTTTATTGGAGTATAGCTGATTTACAATGTTGTGTTAGTTTATATAATTTAATTTTTAATAATGACTGTGTTTAACAACCAGCTTACAAAATTCCTGAACATTTGACAGTTGGTTCTTGTGAGCTGGTACGAGGTGACTCCAGCATACCACTATGTGAGAGGGGGCAGAAATATCGGTCATTGGTAGCTCAGGGAGAGTCTTGTCAGAATTTTCATAAGTCAAGGGGGTGTGAGGAGTGGATCCTGGAACCAGGAAATGCATCAGAAATTAAGACTCTGGTCTAAGACTTATCAAAGACTTACCTTTCATTCTTTGTATAAGGGTCCCGTAGCCCATGTCATACTGGTAGGTAAGGACAAAGCCTAATGGAACGATAGGTAAGAGGAAGGCAGGCTTCTTCTTTTTAATTGCTCTGATTCAAGAACAAAAAAGAATGAATATCAAGGAATAACCTGTAAATAAATATCTTTGTACTTGATGAAAGGAAATAAGTTATCTGCTTTTGGGAAGAATATCCTCCATTTCAGAAGTTACTTAATTCTTCTATGGAAATAGGATTTGCTTACCCATAATCCCTCAGCAGATTCTGCAGTTCTCGGGTAGGGTCTATGATTTGTTCATCTTTATTTGATGTTGAGGCTCAGATTACTCATTTAAAAAATATTTAAGTATTGATATCTATCCCTTAGGGACTGTGGAGATGAATTTGTAGAGACTTCCTTCTGTCTTGGTGCAAAGTCAGTCCTCTCTCTTACTTATAAAATGGAGAAAAGTACAGAAGAAATCTAAGAAACTAAAGGAAGAATTAACTATTACTATCCTGGTTCTACAGAGTTACCGCCAAGGACTAAGCTATCAGGGTTACTTTGTTCGCCTATATGTGTACTATTTGGATCAAAGTCCTATCTTGGCCAACTTAATAATATGATCATGGCAGAGACAAAAAGAAGTAGAAGAAAATTTTAAAGTAAGTAGCAAATATACCCAGCTGTTAAAGAGACGGCTGCAATGCCAAAAAAAGTTCCAAAATATTTGAGGAATTCCCGAGACCAAGCAATCTGCATAGCCATTTGTCTTTCTCTCATTTCATTCTGCATCATTAGCTGCCTTTCCAGCTGAGGACAAAACAAAAGACAAAGTGTGGTTATTCATCTTTTGAATCCGAGCACAGAGTTAATAATTTGCTTTTCTAGTGGATTTTCTTTCTAGCTTTAATTCATGTTTTTTCTTTTTTTAATCTCAAGAGACTTTGACCAAAGTCCCTCTGGACTGCTATCCCCAACTGTAATCTTGGCAGTGAAATCTGGAATATATATGGAATAAGTATGATATTCTTCTTCAGCTCTTGTATGCATGTAGTCTGGAACGTTTATCCAAGCCCAAAATATATGTTCAGCTTACTATATGAAATGTGAGAAAAATATCCATGTGCCTTTAAATACAGAAACACTTTATTGGCCTTAATTACCATTTACACTGAAATCATTTTGTCTTCCAAAACCATCCAACTCCACACTGAAATTCATTTGAAGTATTGGGTCCATATTGCATCATAATATGATGGTAGAGGGGTATTATTTTGAGATATCAATAGAGATTTTTCTTTGCCACATTTTTCTTGTTGCCTTAAGTCCTTCACCACTTTAGTCAGTGCCTTTCACTGCCTTAGAACAGAAAGCAGATACAGCGCAGAACACAGGAGACTGTATTTCTGAATGGATTTTTTAGAAAATACATAGGAGAAGCAACAGTCTGAAAGCCCAAGCCCATTATTTTGAAAGAGTTAGATTCTTGAGAGAGAAAAGAGCTCTTTTTAAATTCTCAAATCTTGGCACTGTGTATCATTAGCAAAGCCTAGAGGATAGCAAGCATATAAACCATAGTGTGAGAGGAATGAGTAATAATGTGACTCAATTTTCCTTCCATGCCTTCTTTCTCCTGTGGGAAGGGACTGGAAGAGGAGAATGAGATTTTATGAAAAAAGATGGGGCTTGGCTCCGTGACCCCTCGTGGGGGTTGAAGCCCCAGGGGATGTGATGGATTTCGAATTTGAGAATCCTCAGACAGAGAGCACTTGTAGTTCTGCCTCCTGTCAAGAATTCTGGGAAGGGGCATCTGTCCGCTTGCCGATGCAGGGGACACAGGTTCGTGCCCCGGTCCGGGAAGATGCCACACGCCGCGGAGCGGCTGGGCCCGTGAGCCATGGCCGCTGAGCCTGCGTGCCCGGAGCCTGTGCTCTGCAACGGGAGAGGCCACAACAGTGAGAGGCCCGCGTACCGCAAAAAAAAAAAAAAAAAAAGAATAAAAGTAAAGTAAAGCAGAAATGGTTGCAGAGCAGATCTAGGCTTATAGAAGAAGGCCTGAGAGAGGCCACCCCAGTCTCCCTCAGTTGCCAAGGGTTGTGGATAAAGTCTGCAAGGTTCCCAGGTCAACCTGGATAGGGTCATAGAAGGTAGCTGATAACTGAAAGCATGTGGCTTACCAGAGAGTCACCAAAGCCTAGGGCCCAGGAACCCAATAATAGACACTTGGGTAAAAACTAAGGATATTCAGAAACTCTGAATACCCTAACTTTACTTATCTATAAATCTGAAACTATTCTAAAATTTAAGTTTATTTTTTTAAATGGTTATAAACAAATCTTATATTCTAGGTCTCTACTCTCTACCAATAAGAATAGAAGCAATCATCTCCATATATCATAGAGAAACTGTGAAAATCAGCAAGACTATATCTGCAATAAACTAAGTCTAGAGTTGAAAAAAAATCCATGCAGACCCTCTCTTTCATGGGCAAAAAATCCTGATGAAGGACATCATTGAGCTATAATGCTAATTATCAATTAAAACTTTATTAATTACCACATACTTTATAAAATAGTATTTAAAGTCACAGGTCTAGGTCCAAATACATTTTAAAATTCAAATTAATAAATTTTATCACCAAACTTTTTCAATAGCCATAAAGGGATAATTACATTAATGTAATTATTAATTTACCAGTAATAGGCATTATTTAACTAAATGTACATTCATTTTCACCCTTCTTCCCCAAATATTGACACTAATAACAAGAGCAAAAGAGAACATGTACAGTAAGTTTCTGTAACAGTCTTTAACCCAAATCATAAATATAAAATTCTTTATCCTATTTTAAAAGAATTTTACACCTTTTTATAATAATTATTTTCCTATCTCTGTTACTTTTGATACTGCTTTATAGGACAATTTGAAATTAAAATGTTCCTCATTATGACTTCAGACTAAGATGATTTTACAGGCTTATCTGGTACTAGTTTAACAATTACAGAGCGACAATTAATTTTAAAGAGAATATAATAAAAGGGAGCTAGCTTATTAAAAATTATTGTTCAGGGCGCAGTGGTTAAGAATCCGCCTTCCAATGCAGGGGACATGGGTTCAATCCCAGGTCCGGGAAGACCTCACATGCCACAGAGCAACTAAGCCCGTGCACCACAATTACTGAGCCTGTGCTCTAGAGCCCGCAAGCCACAACTACTGAGCCCGCGTGCCACAACTACTGAAGCCTGCGTGCCTAGAGCCTGAAGCCCACACACCTAGAGCCCGTGCTCTGCAACAAGAGAAGCCACCGCAATGCGAAGCCCGCGCACCGCAACCAAGAGTAGCCCCCACTCGCTGCAACTAGAGAAAGCCTGCACGCAGCAGCAAAAACCCAACGCAGCCAAAAGTAAATAATAAATGAATTAATTTAAAAAATCATCATAGCATTTCTTTAAAAAAAAATATTGTTCATAGTAGGAGAAACCACATTCTGACCACCTTCATAAAACTGTTACATCCACTCTTTCTTGTGTATTTTAACTCCTCAAATTTTTTGTTTTAAAAATACTAAGGGCAGCCACAAAATTACTGACCTCAGTAATTTGTCAATCTTTTGAGTCTCAGAAGGGGCAACTATGTAAAGATCCACAGACCATTTAATACGTTTCCCTTTAATACAATCTTAAAATGATTAAATTTCATGTGGACACATAGAACATTTTCACAGCACAAAAAAGGCAATGACATTGTCCTATAAATTATCTTCATTGTAGTTTTAATTTTTTATTAATTAGAGCCTTTCCTATTTTTGAGAAATAATTAGGCCAACCTTGAAAAAAAGTCCGTATACTTCTGTGTTTTTAGTTTCCAACAGTCTTTTAACTTATGCATAATATATTCACATGTAATAGAAAAGTTGTCTTTTTATTTGCTTAACTGGACAATGCCAAAAAGCGATTCTGCATGTTTTGTTACAAAAGAAATTTTGTTTTTATCGGAAATGAATATTTTATATTTGTCTATGCCTTTTTTAAATTAACAGAGACATTATTGATACCTTCTAAACTAAAAGCAAAATCAGAATTTCAGGTAAACAAACCATAAAGATCATTAAAATAAAGCAACCATAATGAAAGCTGTGACAAGTGGCATTTAACTTTAACTTGCTCTACAGATGTTTTAAATGTTCAACATCCAGTAAGTAGTTTGGGAAGAATCTGGAATGGGAAATGAATAACAAATTGAAGCTTTTTAAAAATAAGTCCAGGGCTTCCCTGGTGGCGCAGTGGTTGAGAGTCTCCCTGCCAATGCAGGGGACACGGATTCGAGCCCTGGTCTGGGAAGGTCCCACATGCCGCGGAGCAACTAGGCCCGTGAGCAACAACTACTGAGCCTGCGTGTCTGGAGCCTGTGGTCCACAACAAGAGAGGCCGCGATAGTGAGAGGCCTGCACACCGCGATGAAGAGTGGCCCCCGCTCACCGCAACTAGAGAAAACCCTCGCACAGAGACGAGGACCCAACACAGCCAAAAATAAATAGATTTTAAAATAAGTCCATTGTTTAATCAATGATTTATGAAAATAATTGAAAATTTAAAAATTGAAGTATTATTCAGAAGCTTAAAAGCTTTGGTTACAGCATCTTGTTACATACCTTCCAATAAAGATTACAACACAATTAAATCCACTCTTACTCTCAGATGTTTGTAAACAATAAGGTCACCCTATGTAAAAACTAAGAATTCCAGTTTGGCAAAAGCCCTTTATATTACTTATGGATTCTAAAATATATGGACTTTCTCCAGCAAGATCAGAAGATGCTGACAAGATGAGTAGAGCCTGGGAAAGAACGAAAGATCAATGACGTTCTCGTCCGTTATCTAAAATTCTGTAAAGACATAGCTGCTAACAGTGTCTGGTACATTATAAATGCCATTAACTGAAGTTGAAGACAATTCCAGAACTTAAGTAAAAAACGATAATAAGTGTATTTTCTTTTATCCTGGATTTCCTCATTTTAAAGAGTACATATTTCTTACTTTGATAATTAACGTTCCTCTATGTCAATCCTAGCTGTGCACAAAGCTAAGACCTCTATTCTATAATACTTAGAACAAAAAATCTTAGAAACAAAATATGCTTCAAAAATAAAATTAGAAAATCATTAAGATATTGTAAGATGCTTACTTCTACTTTATTGTGGCAGCTGATACGCTGATAGAAATAATAATGTGGCTCACCAGGTGCTAAGCACTGTACTTAATTTACATATATTGACTTTCCTGCAAAACCCTATGAGGCTGGTCTATGAGTTGAAGATAATGGAATCCACTCCAATTAGTAATTTAAACAGAATGGGAATTATTGCAAGGTATTTGGCAGGTTAAGAATTTCTAGGGGAGCCATGGAAGTTAGTTTGTGTCCTATACTATCAGGAATAACATAGCAGGGAGAAATGCTCAGCCAGAACAGGGGACTCTCCTATGGGAACCCCACAGCTACTGCCTTCTGTCATAGATGCTCAGAACCAAATACTGAAATTCCACCTCCACATTCCCAAATGTCAGTCAGCTCCACTACAGTGATTACAAGAAGATCCAACATCTTCTAGAAGCTTTATACTGCCCATGTCCACCTCCCAGGTTTCCTTCAGGTGTGCCTAGATGGCAGAACCATGTCAGATGTGAAACCCAGCTGCAAGAGTCTGAGAAATCTGCCTCTGGCTTTCCAGCCTCTGTTGCCATAAGGGAGTTGGATGGAATGGAAGCTGAGCAGAGGATGTATTGACTCAGTTTACAGTTGAGGAAACTGAG